TGGAATAGTTAAATCAGAATAGGTTATAGAAGATAACCATAGGAATATTAACAATGAAGAATACAAAGAAAAAAATAGCAATGAGGTTAAAGATGATAATGATGAAGATATCAAAATGGTTGTAGAATTATTATATGTCATATACCTACCATATATTGTATTGTTTACAAAGCAACACTATCAACTGAACTCCGCTCAGAATCGGTTTTGGTTAGCAATGGTTTATCGTTGCTTACAGATATACATTGAATTTCCCCTCTACTACCTTCTCAACTCCCTATCTACAACAGTGGCTGCACCCATCTGCGAAGTATGACCGTCCTTATTTCAATTATATTTTGTAAATTACAAAACAATATTTTAAATTTATACAATTTGTCCGGTTTTAAATTTCTTGAATGGGTTAACTGCGTTCATAATAAACTTAAAAAACGCACTCCAATGACCTACGACCATTTCAGGGTGGCAAGAAAAAGGTATATTCTCACGGATGGGCGATGCCCCAAAATATATTACGACCGCGTTGAAAAACCGCGAAACCGCATGGACCTAACAAGTTTCCCGACATATATTGTTGTTGTCGTTTCGACACGCGCACTATTATTATTGGTGTTGTTTTCGGTTGTATTATTATAATACATTATTGTATAATAAATTATTATTATTATTATTATTGTTATTATTATGTCGCCTTCGGACAACATGTGCGTGTTGCGACAGAAGATCGGGGTGCGGTGACGAAGGATTATACCACTCTTGGCACCCGACGTATTATTTAATGCAATCACAATTAATAATAATTTTATTACGCACGTCAAACGTAATTATTTTATTAATTATTAAATATTATTATGTTCGCCGTTAGGCTCGACAAATTTTGAAATTTGGACGCAGCAAATTCAATATATTATTCGTATTTATATGCGTACGCTACACGATACGCACGCAATACCTATGGGAGGAACACTTCGTGCACATGCCATACGGTGATAAATTAATAATATAGGCCACGGAAACATTAAAATAATTCACGCCTAACCTTTAGATAAAATAAAACATTCACGAGCCGCAGAGCTCTGTCACTAGAGTCGAATAATTTTCCTCCGACTCGTGGTTGTTACATTATTTTATGTTTTTTTTTTTGCTGTTTTGTTTAATGATAAAGAGTTAAACAAAACAAGTTTTATCAAACTAGCAGTAAAGTTGTTCTCGAGATTTTCTGTGACATACGAACGGACGCTGCAGTAGGGACGAGGCATAGAAGTCCAAACTTTCCAAAAATATATTCCCGATAACAATTCTAATAATAGATACACATTTTAACCGAACTAATCATGAAAATGAGTACTTTAATGAATCTGTAAGCAAGGTATTTAAAGCCAATATTTTCATTTAAAACACAAAAATAAACATAAATATAAAATTTCATCCCCTATCTTCATTTCGGGATCTGTATAAAGTTAAAAAACACCTTCCTTCCGCAACAAAATATTTCATAATTTTTTTTTTTATTTAATCATCATAAATTTACAAAATGTGTTCGACAAATTCAATTTATGATTATCAATCACTTTTAAGCTGAATTTGAGTTAAAGATTGAGAGTATACATTATAATAAATAAAATATATTTCAAAAATAAAAATCAAAATAATATAATATGTAAAAAGAAAAACAAACAAAACAATGAAATCGTAAAATTGTACGTTTTTCTACGTTTGTTCCCACTTAAATGATTTTATTTAAAAAATGACGTAGAAAATTAAAAAATGATATTTTTAATGTACCGTCTAGATAAATTTAAATTTCAGAATAGTTGCTACTTGTAAAAATCGGAGTAAGTTTACTAGGGAAAAAGTTTTTCCCTAGTTGGGTGTCCACAGACTAGAAAAAAAAAATAAAAAAAATATCTTAGTAAAACCAATAGCTCCCTCGCTACGCTCAGAATCTAAAAATATTTTTTTTTTAACCTAACCTAAGTTAGTTAACTATTTTTTTTTTTTTCTAGATTACATTAGAATTCGCTCGTACTACACAATGTCAATAAGCTATTGAGTGGTGGATTTTTCAGATATCATTAAGTCTTCGAGCATATAATTTGAACTAGGAAAAACCATTTAAGTGTAATAAAGTAACGGGGAAATAATATTATATAGGTATTTGTTACTAGTAGAATCACTCGGTATTTTCCGGGTTCAATTGTTTGCAATGTTTTATCGTTGCTTCCGGTATTACCGTATAGCCTTTATACCTCCTCAACTTCCTACTCAAACCAGTGTTCTACTCGTGGTGATGCATGTCTGGCTTTTTGCTTTTGAATATCTATATACAATATACATATACATATACTATTATATATATATATATATATTACACCCCCATAGGTGAAATTGTCCTATTTATGAAACGGGTGACTTTTTTGCATAATGTCTGAAATGACCAAGTAAGTTGCTTATTTAATATATATAACAATAAGTGGTCCAGTTAGTGAATTAGACTTTAAAATTGGTGTTCATTTTATGAACTGGCAACTGGTAATCTTAGAAATACAACTCAATACTAAACATTATTTGACGAAACAGATTTTATGAATAAAGAGTAACAGGCTTCATAACACGATTTACAAAAATTAATAATTTATTAAAAATATAGTATTTACATTAATTATAAATATATATATTGTAAACATTTGTGTATTTTTTCGCCATTTTTTGTCCATTATATGAATTGGACAACTCACTTTTCAGCTATTTCATGGAATTACCAAAAAAAGTTAACTGTTTAATGAATTGGAAATATCTGGGGTGTAATATATACAGCTGTTTAAGAATGAAGGTACACAGAATTGTCGGATTCCTACCATTCGTACTTAAAGTTAAAAAATTAATCGTCAGTGTTTTTATATGCTAAACGTTTGTGGAATAAAATGTAAAAAATGGTTTCAGTTTTGAAAATGTTGTAGATTTGTAATATCATAACATAAAAAAATATTAAGGCAATGGCGTGGAATCAACGTCGAAAAATTGTTTCAAATGGACACGATTTTTCATTTTATATTTAGTAAACGTTTGACTCGTCGGTATATATAGATAGACATAATAATATTTTATTTTTTGTTGGTAAAAATAAAAAAAAAGATTTATAAAACGATACTACAGATGAGGTGATTATTGTTGGTGGGAAGTTGGGAAGGTAAGATACATAGTTATTTAATTTATATAATATGTGCGCAATGGTAAATCATTAATGATGAAATATTTTTGAGGGAAATTCAGTTAAATAAATTTTAAAGGCCGTATTATCATTCTGCAGGCAAGCCACTGTAGTAAAACTTTACACTATAGTTGTATACAAATTATATATATGACTTCACGTTTTTTTTTTTTTTTAAATTGAAGTATTTAGAATCACTAGGTATATTGTATAAATTCTCACTAATACGTAATACCAAAATTGACTGAAATTATTTTCGAACAGATTTACTATGTCATTGTTTCACGTGGTATATTATGATAGTTTACTGAAAAACTTCCGGAAAAATTTAAAATAGACCCCTCTAAAATATAATCTGCAGTGGCCACGGTTGCCCTGCAATATTTGCTATTTGAATAGGTCTTTGTGAAACTTTTTAAGTTGTACAATTCAACCAGAAAAAGAAATTAGTTCATAAAAAACCCTTCTTGTGACCTCAATATACGAGTACTGAGTAGTAGTGATTCCATATTGACGAAAACACACGATTATACAGAGTGATCTATTTATCATGGATATCTAACGATTTTATTGGAGAATTTTGAATAAATTTGGTTTCCTTTTTTTTTTTTTCAACCTGTGCGGAGTTTTTTAAGATTTAATTTAACACTATACATATTTTTAACCTTTTACCACTATATGAATAAACGTAAATGAGTATTAACTTTTAATTTTTAAATATAAAACCCCAATTTCAACTACAAAAAAAAAAAAAAACACATTTTTAATTTGCATAACACTAATATTGGACATATTGTATTTAAATTACAATAATTTATAAAACTATATAAGTTAAGAAACTTTAGACCTTTGGAGTATGGAGGGGTAATAAATTGCATATCCATTTTCAGATGAGTACTTTTCCTAAACATTTCGGTCCTTCAGCTGGATGCTCGCTGGATGCGCCATTGTCATTATGTTGTCTCGTGAAATCTTGAAGTATTAATTTGTAACCCAAATCATAATATAAATACAAATCAATATTTATTTTTGAAGTTGATATTTTTTTCTATAACTTTCCTAAGCCAAGGATCAAAAAGTTTAAAATTTTTCATATGGTATTCCGGCAACCAGATGCCCCCAAAACATCTGCTACCCGGGGCAAGTGCCCTTAAAACCCCCCGTCGAATACGGCCCTGAGTAACAACGCGAACAACATATATATAATTGAATTGTTGAAAAATAACGTTTCAAGTATAAATTATGCTCATACTATTGTATAATACTTAAGCCGTAATCATCCAACCAATTTAAAATCTACAAAAGTATCATCCACACAACACACTGATCAACTAATGTAAATTTCAAGTAAATCAGTCCGTTAGTTTAGGCTAAAGAGAGTTCAGACCATTTGCTGTAAAATTACACAGTTTAAATAGGAATTGGCTGTCTCGTGTAATATATTGCGGTCGACACACGAGCTGTTTTTTTTTTTACTCAGATCTGCGCCGCGATCACGGCGCTGGATATTGAATAAATACAATTTAATTTAGAAAAATCGATTGTTTTACGATTTGGTTGTTTTTAAGATTTGTTTAAGATAATCAAGGTATAGGTAGGTATTTAGTTTTCAATAATAATAATTTTTAATCGACAAAATAATGCAATGCACAAATCATAAATAATCGTAGGAAGAATAATATAATATCAAGTAAGTGTTTAATAGATATCGTGCAACCTTTATTTTTTAAATGTGCCTTAGGTATGTAGTAATAACTATTTAAAAGATGGGAGAGTACCAAAAACAGATTTATATTGCCATGTCTGAAAATCCATAACTCGTAGAAACCATGTTTGCAGGTTTATTTGAAGATGTTATGTTTTTATTTTTGGTTTTGATTTTTGCGATGATACCTTTCTGAAACAGTTATACAAACGTAATATACTTTATCGATAGTACACAAAAAAAATATCCGTTTTGTTCTGTTACGAATCATCTACACGTATTGATTATTATTACTATTATTAGTGTCATCTATACCAGCGGTTCTTAACTAGTGTGTCGCGTATTACCCTGATGTGTGTTGCCAAAAAAATTGTTTATTTATGATTGCTTATACGACTTCATAGCTTATACCACGGCCTTAGGCTTTATACTGTACGTTTTCAAAGTATAATATAAATACGACATTATTATTATGGTATGCTAAAATCATAGAGTATGTACAGAGTATATGTACACTAACATATAATTGCTTAGTCGTGATAATTAAGTATCCAAAAAGGCAAAAGTCTGACCATAAATAAAATAAAAATATCATAAATCATAGAAATATCATACGAATAATATAAAAATCGTTGGTAAACGATTGACTAAATCACAAATACAATTTTACTAAAAAATAAAATAATTTATATAATTTATTATAAAATAATAATGAAATATTAAAATTAAACTTCAAATTTATATATACAGTACTGTGGTTAAATATTATATTATTATTTTATTATTCAATATTAAATCGTAATTTGTTATCATGATAATAATATTATCACTTATCATTAATACCCACTTTAAAACTACAATAAATTGCATAGTATTGTTTTTTCTCTAACTACACATACTGAAGTTTGCCCTTCCGTTTGCTTCACATTGAAAGTACTACAGCCACTCCCTGGTATATTGGTAAAACCAACAGATAGAAAAACTAGAAAATAGGCATTACGCGTAGGTACGTAAATAAACATGTTCTCAGTCGTAATCACCGTGTTGTGAGCGTTGTGTGTGTCATTTAAATTCCATTAATTTTTACGGATCCTGAAATTAGGGTGTCGTCATACAAAACAGGTTAAGAACCACTGGTTTTTACAAATAAAATAATACATCAAATTCCAATAGGTACGTTGATTAAAATAATAGTATATTATATTTGACTAAATTGTTTCATCTAGCAATATTTTTGATACACGCTTGGTTTAGCATATAATTATTACGATAATTCATTAATATTTCAATTGAGTTTAAATTAATTAATATAGTGATTTATGGTTTAAAAATCAAAAGTTTACTCTGTTATGTGGATGAGAAAGGAAAGAAAAATAATTAAATTGTGAAAATAAAAAATTGCACGTGATTAAAAAGTTCAGAAAAGAAAAAAGAACTTTTTAAACTTAGCAGACATTAGCCTGATTTATGTTAAAACTACCCCATCTTATAATATTATTCATGATATATTTAAGAGAGAAAAAAATGTATATTTTTTATGTATAAAATGGGCAGAATTTCTTGGAATAAAAATATATGAAGTCAAAATATATTAAAGTACCTATATCAAACAAAAATCAATTACCATTTCGAAATATTTATTTTTGAATTCGTTTAATTCTCTTTTCGTTCTTTCCAAATTAAACATGTATTCCTTCGCTGTTTGCTGACTGATGATCAATTCTCCGGATAACCTCTAAATATAATAATTTGGTTGGAATAAATATGGACAAATAAAATGTATATAAGTATATATGTGTGTTTTTACAAATATTTTTATTCCATAATAATTGAACCGAAAATGACTCAAACCAATTTACCCTCATTTTGTCTTCTTTTTTCAACAACGTTCTTTTGATATTGTTCATTTCTTTGAATACATCTGTACCCGGCAGCTTAACGAATTCATCTTTGAGTTTTTCGTATCGTGTTTGTATCTCTTGTACTTGCAGATTCTTGTCAAATACTTTGGTGCATTGTTCGAGTAAACGTTTTTGAAGGATCCTCACTTTGACCGTCATTTCGTAAGCCGGTGGGTCAGTATTCTGGAATAGGAGGAGATACTAATATGTTAATATTATATTATAATATTCAAATTAAGTATTAAACACGTTGACAAGGCGTTATAAAGGATCTTAGTATTTATGATGGACGGCTTTGAACTATAGATACAACGATTATAATTGTACTTTATTCTGTATAATTGATTATGTATCACGAGCATATAAATCCAAGTAGTAAACGACTGTAGGAAATTTCCGAAAAAAAAAAAAATTTAATATATGATAATAGGTATTTGCATACATTTTGTTTTGATAAAATACTAACACTGCGCAACATGCAAATACCCATTTATTTTAAAATATTTGTTTTTCTTAAATATATACTTCTAATAACATTCCGCCAAAATATTAATATGGTTATTGTGATTGGTGTGCTGTTGTGAGCGTTGCAGGGGCGTGTTCACGGGCGTGGGATGAGGGTGTCATATCCCCCCCATGAACTTTTTTTTTATGTATTTATTTGAAGTTTCTTGGTAGTTTCGGTTTTCTCGAAAAAAAAAAAATAGTACATTGTTGGTTTTAATATTTAGTTATGTTAATTATTATCATACATATAAAATATATTTAGTAGATAAAGTAATAGTACCAATGGACTATCATAATACTTCAGTCCATTATATTCCGTTATTTACGTTATAAACGCGACCATCGGCATATTAATATATTATCAATAGTATTTATAGTTATGCAGTTTTTAGAAATATTATAATACAATTTTTATATTAATACACAAATTCAAATTGTTGTGCGGTTTCTGCAACTTACGAATACTACTAAATACCGTGTATTTTAATTCAGTTGTCAGATATTTAACGTAACTGTATTTTGTTAATGAAATAATATCGTCAAAAGTGTAGGATTTAAATTTACCACTCTCGTTTGAATTATCATTTTTTTTCTTTTTAATTTTCCGGAATGTAATCAGATTAATTTTAAAATCAACATTCAAATATTACTCACGTATAAAACTACAAATTTTTTTGAAATCAATATTGTATTAGTCGTTTTAAAAAATAGCTTCAGTGTAGAAGAAACCCCCAGTACATTTTTTATTCTATCACTATACTGTTCCATGAACATCCTTTATACTTGGTTTTTGAAATGTACACCGTAAATTGCTATGCAAATTATTTGATTTTAATCATCCCCGGGAATCGGAAGAAATCCGGGCGCAAAAACCCGAAATGGCACCTATAGCTCCGGGGCAGATGGTTTTGCCATTATCGTCGGGAAACTGTCATTCGTGACGAAAACACCGTATTATAGTTATGCAAATTACTTTTAAAAGTCTCCAATGGTGCACGTTCGTGGGTTTTAGTAACATTTCTTCCAGAGCTCGACATTTCAAACGTTCCCTGTTCAATGTTTGTTCGTATTTCAATACCTCGCCCCGTACATCGTTTATTTCGGATAAGTTTTTCATCAGCAAATTCTTTTGATCGCTAGAAATGCACATAGTATAAGTTAGATAATTTTGTTATTATTATTATTAACTATTAATTATTATGTTCACGCAAATGTACGGGATTTTACCAAAATTTGGAAATATTGCAATCATAATAAAATATCCTAACTTTTTATAAATCAAGCTAATATTTATTTATATAAAACTCGCATACTTTTAGTATTAGTTTGACGGTGAAATAAAGTTTCAATATTATTTCGAAGCTTGAAGCCCGTTTTATTAATCACCAATCAAGATAATGTTATTTTACTATCATTTGGTTAAAATTTTAACTTAACATTAATCACGAACTAATAAATCCGATATATTTAATCAGCCAATAAATTTAACTTTGAGTGAGTTTTGATGTAATCAGATTATATTGTTAAGTATATTGCACATTTAGTAGGTACGATTTTACCTACTTATAATTTCAAAAAGTAATTGTTTTATTTTAGCTTTTAGGTAAATAGGTAAGTCATCATTGCCAAGTTAGTAAGTATTATTATGTTATTTGAAAGAAATACGTATTACTTATTTTGTAACGTATCAAAAAAAAAAAAAAAAAAAATGACAACAAAATAATTTAGATTAAAATTGTAATGATAACAATTGATTGACTGAAGATGGCGATATATTCATATTAACGATGTGATTGATACCAATTAATGTATTTTTAGATCTTTAGTTTTTTAACGATAGCTTAGGTACTTAATGTTGGAACAAATATATAATTATTGATAGAATCATAATATTTTAATCAAAAGTTACCTAGGTTTTTTTTTTATCTGAGCATGTAGTTAACAGGTCATTTAACTGGCTAGGCCTAACAAGCAAATGGGTCTTTCGTTTTATTTATATTATCTATCCACTACTGTAATGAATTTTGATATGAATTTGTTCATTTTTTTTTTTGACAAGTTAAGGAAATAAAAAAAAAAAAAATAGGTACTGCATAAAAACAATTCGTTACTGAAAATAATTGATTTGGATTTCCTTAGACATTGCTCCGCACGTGGTAATATTTTTTTCCAATTCGTTTCACAGAATTGTGGTCGCGTTTGTAATAAAAAATATTTCGTGCACTGTTATTATAACGAAAAACAAATTAATAGATAGGTATTTAAAAAAAAATCTTTATTCATTCAAAAATGTAATTTATTAGTGTGATAAATATTACATTTAGGTAGATACTTATTAAACATTATAAGAGGAAAAAATAACGAATATTATTCAGTCTCTGGAAAATAACCGATTCATTTTTATTCTTCTATACAAGGTATAACTAGACTATTTGAAATTTTTACATGTAATTACAATGTGAAAATAACAAATAGTCTTGTTACACCCTGTTTATTATTATTTTAATAAAAATAATTTGTTACCTACTTTACGCGGAGTCAAAACGAATTAAAAAAAAAAAAATAATAAATATAAAATTAACTACCCGAAAATAACGTATTTATCTATAATGTTAAATCTATAATATTAAAATATATTATCATACATTTTTGTTTTAAAGCATCGTAGTTTTATACTAGAAATAACTAATAATTTGCCCTACTTTCTCTTCCCGTATTTAACCTTAAAGAGGGACGGGCATTGACGCAGTGTTATCGGTATTTCGGAAACGAAAATCGAATAATTTTAGTTAATTTATTTGGCAACCTCGGGGATACGGATGGAATATAATAATAATAATAATAAAAAAATTAAAACAAATAAATAATAAAATAACCCATGCAAGAATCATATTATTATCATAGCATAATAATAATTTGTTGATTATTTCTTTAGGCACGTCAACGCTGATCGCCAAGCGGGACAGCTTCAGTTATCAATAATCATTGTATGATTTTATACACCATTCAAAATAAACGTTGTCAATAATACTATCTAAAAATAACAACAATCGATTTGGTTACTTGTATTATTTTCATTTTGTAGAAATCTATAAGTATTTGGCTATTTGTAAACTTAACGATAAAACACGTAAATTAAATGATTTGAAGAAAAGTTTATCGGATATTCAGAGTTGAGCCGCTTCAAATTATAACTCGGTTGGTCTGACTGGTTTTACTCACAATTCGGTACTGAATATACAAAACCAACAAGCCCGGATTGAACCGGCGAGCTATCCGGTGGACCACGAACAATTATAATTGTTTCAATTGAATTTATCTAAATTTGATCTATTTTGGGATAATTTTGAGCCAGTGATAATCCTAAAACTCGGTTGCCGATACGGCGATACATTTCCGATAATATTGTTTACCGCTATGAGAAAATTTAATGTTATCAACAATTTAATGTTTACATGTTATTATTTGACTTAAGCGTGTATTGTTCGAAAGGATTTTTTTTTTAATTAAGCGTTAAATGCTATGCATAATTAAACGTGTAAAATTGAATGGTTATTTAACATTTTCCATTTAATAATTGAATTAAAAATTGATCATAATCTATATAAATTAGTGATATTTTCGTTTTCTATCTGTTATGTTTAAATCATTTATCATTTTCTGTTACGTTAGTTGTTTGAATTGTTTACTGATATGTTATCTGTTATCCGTTTCAATCGTTTATGGTTTTTCGTTATTGATTTTGATTTGTGAATTATTTAACGTTATATAATGATATTTTTTTAAAATCGTTTTGAAGCCTCAATAAAGCAACTTTCGCAAACGTTTTATCACTCTCTCCAATTTGTCTACCTTTTTATCGAAAAGGTAGGTTTAAAGACCGTATTGTTTTCTTCAGATAACTGTAACTTTTTTTAAATAATTACAAACTACACAAACAAAAACAAAAACAAAAATAACGTCAACGAAATATAAGATAACAAAATATACATTTTCTGTTAATTACATTAGGTACCTACATAATTTTATTTTAAACTTTAAAACCGCTTTTCAAGATTTATCGTTTGTTTCGTATGGACATTTTATACGTTTACGTGTTTTTATCACGAACAATTATCGGTATAGCATCACGTAATTGATGGTTATATTTTAAAATCAATTGGTTTCATTTTTTTTTTTTTTACGCGAACAAACAAAAACACTACGCATTGGCCGCTCGGCGATAAACGACCGAGTTACGATTTCGTTTAAATGACAGGTGGTTATTACGCGTTGTTACAAACTTATCGACTACAGCATTACCGGTATTAAAATTATATATTTATTATAAAATATTAATAAAAGCTTTACCTTAAACGTTTTACTTCCAACTTTAGCAACCGAATATCGTCGATCCTTTTATTGTATTCTGTTTCTCCTTTGCCCAGTGTTGTCCTTAATATGTCGTTAGTATCTTTTTGTTTCAATAGCTCTTCGTTTCGTATATTTATTTGATTTATGAGTTTATTTTTAGCTTCGTTCGCCTGTGACATGTGAAATGTAAACCGTAGTAATATTAACGCGTTAACATGTTTATAACGTTCATAAGTTGAAGATGTTGAGGAGTTGAGAAAAAAAAAATGCGATTACTTTGCTATATTATACTAAATATTTTTCAACGGGTTATTTTCCTTGGAGCTCGTTCGAGATACTGTTTTAAGAAAAAAAAATATTTTTTACTCACTTCGTGATTTTGTTTCTGAAGTTTTTCTATTTTTTTTTGCAATATTTTGAACGTTGTAATCATGGACTTTTTGTCTTCATTTTTCTTCTTTAATAAATTGGACGTTTCTTCAACTTTGGTCTCGTATTTATCGATTTCTTGTTGACATTTTTGTAATTCTTTTTCGGTTTGTTTTAAAACTGCAGCACCGAGAATATTAAACGATCAATAATATTATTATTGATAATTGTTACGTTTTTCTGCTTTTATATAACATAATTATATATACCTGCATCGTTCTTTGTTAATTGCATTTCTTTATACGCGACGTAATCTTTTTGTTGTTCGAGTTGTTGCGATATCATTTTTATCTTATTTTTCATTTCGTCCATTTCGTCCTAAATAATATACAGAACGAAATAATATTAATTAACACTTCGTTAATAAGATATCGTAACACAGACTTTGGTCTCTGCTAGATTTTTGAAAAATAAATTTCTTTCGGTTTTAATCGTATTTAAGTCATGGTCTTGATCTTTTAACTTGTCGCTCCAACTGTTGACCTCTTTTTTTAATTCTTGTATTTCTACGTCTTTACGATTCAAATTTGCCGAGTCTTCGTGAATTTGGCGTTTTAATGTTGAAATTTCTTGGTGCAATCTGTACACGGGCATGGTATATTCAGTTAATCGACAATTAAAATATATGATAATTTAGTTTTGATGTTTTTACTTTTCCTTGGTTTTGTCTAATGCAAGTTTCTCCCGATTTAATTTATCGATATATTTTTGTGCGTCGGTAAATTCCACTTCTAAAATTCGAAATGCCGACTCTTTTAAATTCATTTTTTCAATGTACGTCATTATCTGTTCTGTAAATATGAATAGAGAATATTGTCGAAACACAATATTTAAAAAAAATAATATTAAAAATAATTTGTATTTATAAATACCGTTAACTTTGGTCATGTTTTTTTCCAGTAACTTCTTTTCTCTTGCCGATAACTCCAATAAACTTTTAAGTCTTATATTTTCTTCCTGCGACGTATTTAAATTTCGTTCCAAAGTAGCTATGTTGTTCTCGGCATTATTTTTTCTTTCCGACATTTTTTCCATTTCTTCCGTGACTTCTTGTCGCTTTCTGACTGTGGTCTCGTGAGTTGCAATCAAACGTGTCAGTTCGGATTGAACTCTGAGTAGTTCATCTTCTTGAAACTAATAATTATGATTTAAATTAATAATACAGAAAATAACAGGTTAAATAACCGACTTTATGATGACAACAACTTCGTGCGTGCATAAATATTAATTCGATTTACGTACATTTATTTTATCTTGCAGTCTATTTATTTCTTGCACGTTGTCAGCTCTTAATTCGGTCTTAATTTTCAATTCTCTGTTTAGTTTCTTTATTTGTTTTTCGTATGATGAATTCTTTGCATTCAAATTATTATTTGTGATCTATAATCCAAACAACAAAAAATCCTTCTTTTTAGTATTATAATTTATACGATTCACACAATAAACGATGTTTATATAATAACGTGTAATGTATATTACTCTAAGATCTTTCAATGTTTCATTGAGTTTTTCCGTAACGATTTCGGCCTTTTTGAAATTATTCTTAACGGAAAATAGTTCAGATTTCAATTTTTCCATTTGCTCGTGATCGATTTTTATACGGTCTTCTAGTTTTTCCATGGTTTTTAATTCTTTCACTAGGTTATTGCTCTGAGCCTATAAAATAATATAATAACATAATCCATAAACCGTGAGCCTAATAATCTAAATATTAAATCTCACCGCCAAATCGGCTTCGAGATCCCGGACGTTATACTCGGCGGCATCCAGCTCTTTTTTCAACGATTCGCAAAGACTGTCTAGCCGCTTATTTTCGGCATCTGCTCTCGTCAGCTCTCGCTTTGTTCTCGTCAACTCAATTTGACTCGTATCTCCTTGGCCCATTGAAGAAAACCTATGTAATGTATAGACGGTATTAATACATAGAAATCCGTAAAAGAAATGATAGGTTAGTCAACTCACAAGCCTTCCTCTTCCATTTGTTTGGTCTTTTCGTCCAATTCATTTTTCAACGTCTTTATCTGTGCTAATAGATTGTCGTTGGACTCTTGTATAATTTGTTCCCGAAGATTAGACGCGTCCAGAGTGCTGTGCGCAGAGATCAGTTGCTGCATAGATATTCACACACCATTTCACGTACAAGTATGGAGATTTTGAGGTTGTTAAAAAGAAAAAAAAATGTGTATAGACCATAGAACGATACTGAGTAGAGCTTGTATAACTAGTTTGACAAAGTAATTAAAGTAGTATTTTTTCTATTTATAAAAGAAAGCATAAAAAATTTAAAAAAAACCCAATAGTTTAATCTGAAACTATGGTGTGTTAATTTGTATCGATATAAATCTGCATATTTTAAAATATGTATGGTGAGAACGGTTTGAGGACCAAAAAAGTAACCAGACATAAAAACAAAATCATCCTACACAGGAAGTCCTACAGTGTTATCCTTATGCTTATAACTCTGTCAATTTTCGTTTTTTTTTTCAATTGAGTTTTGTGTGAGGGGGAGAAATATGCAGAAAAAAATTAAATTTGTATTTCCATCCCTTAATCGCTGAAAAAAATAACTTTTTATTTTTCCACTTTTTAAAAATTTGAAAATAGCCATTTCGTAAAATATATTAGGTATTCTAAACATTGTAATGTGATATACATTTATATCCTATTAATAGTTTTTTAGTAATGAAGTTTGAGTTTCTAAACAATTTTAAAAGGTAATGAAATAAAGTTATTTTTTTTTCAATAATTAAGAGATGATAATAATAATTTAATTTTTCTTTACATATGTGTTTCCCTCGCACGAACCTCGATTGAAAAAAAAAAAATGAATATTGACAGAAAATATTAGCATTTAGACGATAACACTGTAGTACACTAGTACACAAACCTGCTCCAGTTTTTCCGTCTTCATTCTCTCCGAAATGATGGACTGTTTGATTATGGGTATTAGCTGGCGGCAAACGTCCACCATGCGCGTTCTGTCGCCAACATATCTCACGCATTCTTGTCCGAGCTTCCGGACAGCTATCCACAGATTTCCCAGGGTATCCTCAAGCGGTGGATCTGGGCTGAACTCGAGAATCTGCGAAAAGCCATTTATAAATACGATTGAGCTTTACTGATATTGTTTAATACATACGAAATTGTATACACGCATTTTGTGAAAACGGAGAAACTGATAAGATGATAGTCTAGAACACGGTATAAGAATATAAGGTTGGAACAGTGAGCTATGATCAAATATGGCCGTTTAAAGAGGCAATTTTAGTACCTATTTAATTTGTTGTTTGAATAGCGTGACATGCGTAAACTTTGTGCGTTTTGGAGCTAGGTTGAAATACTATAATCATAATTAATACTAATTATAATGAACTATGTTATTGATATATAGCTACAAACATAAAATCTAAAAAATGTTTAATTTTAAAACCAACCTGTATATATTTTGTAATTTTAGATGTTTGAGAGGCTCTCTAAAAAAAGTGAACTAAAATTGGCACTATAAATAAGCCAGAAGACATAGCCAGTGTCCCATCCTTATCTTTTAAGACCGTGGGTGGTCAATAATAAGATATAGGGTGAGACAAACGTGACCGAAGTAAAAAAAAAACGTGCATAGATATTACTAGCGTTAATCCATAGATGGAGTGTAGACGAGGAAATTGTGATGGAATTGAGAGACGCGGAGGACAAGAATAAAAGTTGGTAGCCGGATTCCGTTGTTGAACGGATAAAGATGTAAAAAATATATATAGTGTGATCAGAATTTAATGTTACAGCAATTAGTTTTATTATTATAGCGACACTATTTTAACGCCGCGCGCCGTACTGTGCCGAAATCTCCCCCCTCCCAAACGACATATACAAATTTTAAGCCCTCGTATAATTTTAGATTACACTATTTATTAAACATGTTCCATTGTACATTATTTTCTATTTTGTACATGTTTAGGAGAAAACTACTGTAATATAAAATTCTGATCATCCTGTATAATATATTATTATATATAAAAAAAAATAATAAGTACTCCACTCACGCGTTCGTATTCAACGTCGGGTTCCATCGCAGATTTTTTTTCCATATTTTCGTCCGAGTCGTAGTGGACATACCTGCAACGACCGAGGTTATGATAATAATAAAAATATATACAAATTGTAACCGGCCTAAGGCTGGGGGACAACACTCCAGTAATAAAACTGGGATTGTAGTCAAGGTTACGTTGACGCGCGTTGGCTCGATCGAATACCGATACGACCCAAAACTATTATATGTTTGCCTTAATAACAATAATAATATGTTTTTATATCCACCGTAGAAAATATAACTGAGGTGTGTTAAAAACACCGTCATTCGGCCACACCGCATAGTCCGTTTATTTTATGTAAATTCGTTTTGCCGTCTCGGGAGCGTCCGAGAAGAAAATCCGCCATTATAATATGGATGCGACCTCGGTCGGTATTGTATATACGTATAAAATAGTGTATACGGATATAAATTGTACGAAGCTTGGACGAACACGGCTGGCAAAATAAGCAAACCATCAGGAATTTGTTTTTCTTTCAAATCTTGAACTCAGTCCTCCAATTTAAAAATACAATGTTATACTATAATAAATATAACCTAAACCGCGTCTTTTTCCGTGATAAAACCACGAAAAAAAATTTGAAATGAAATTTTGTCTAGTTAGTAATTAAGGAGACCATTTTTTATTTTCCAAGGGGTTTGCATAGTACTTGGGAAAAACAGGAAAAAAAAGTTGGGAAAATGGGAAAATTTCTGAAATTTATTGTTTTCAGTTTTGTTTTTTTTTACGGTTCATTTAAAAATATTCGTAAAGACTTTAATTTATAAAATTACAAATGTTATTCAACTCTTTCGGTGCACACATGCGCAATAAAAATTAATTTTTTTGAATATCAATACATATTTTTAAACAAACAGCATAGCAATGAAAGGTAAAAAAAAAAAATTTAAATTTCAATAGGAGTAGGGGAGGGCAGGATAGACGTACGTATAATTACCACTTGTGAATCGGAATATTTTCAATTAGAATCAATATAATAAAATCAAATTAACCAAACGTAATTCATTAAATTTTAAACGACGTCTTCTTAATTATTCATTAATATGGTAGATACAATATTAAAGTTTCGGATGATAAGAAAATCCGACGTGTTTTTACTAATAATTAATACTCGGACATACATGTTATCGTAGTATTAATTTGTCAATTATTATCTTGCTGACATCTTGAGCATAAAATCATAATACCTAAATATTTTTCGGTTTCAGAGAAGTGATTTGATTTATTATTTTTTTTATATATTCTTTTACATGCGTTTAAGAATTTACATCAAGATAATTTTTTTTTTTATTAAAAAACACTAAATAACCGAAATGTAATGTATATCGGCGACACTGAATACTAGCTATTGACCATCAATCAAATTTGTTTGGTGAATTGATTGTATTCGAGACCGATCAATCTCGACAATCGATTAAAAAATTAATGTTCGTTAAATCATTGAGGTCTTAAATCATGTAGGTACATGTTTAATTTCTAAAACTGGTGTTAAAAAATCTTGGCTATGTCAGTCCCAGGTGTAAATTGACCATATTTTGACCAGAAAATCGACCGAGCACCAACCTCTAATATTATTTCTCTCTTCTTAAAATAACAGTAGGTAAGATAAATAATTCCCGGTTGGACAAATTATTATTCGTTTACTGCGTTTAAAAGGTCGATTGTAAAATCACCGAGAAAACCTTCTGAAATACAATAGTATGATAATAATATAATAGGTATTACACCTGGTGTCATAACGGGTGTTTTTGCTTCCAATCCGCAAAAACGTCTTTATATGCATTCCATACAGATTCTATGTATTATTTTATTCTTTTAAACCTACGGGAACGTAATCGCCAGTGTATGGGTAATCCGTTTTTCTGTCGTTGTAAAACATTATTTTGTTATATATAGAACGAAAGAATAAATATTGTTATTAGATCAGTAATCGAACATTATACAGACAGGCGATATAGGAACTTGTATAATTCGGGGAGGTATTTTTTTTTTAATAATTTTCCGGTTCGATGAGCTAAAAAAAATTTGTAAGCCAAAAAAAAAGAGAGAAAATAAAACCAATAGCATGTACTTCGTATCAGGGGTAGGTCACTATTTTAGGTAAGATATTTAATGTAGGATAATTTGATTTATGTCTTCATGCAACGTTCAGTAAAATCACTGATAACGGAAAACAATGCTAAGTGGAGATCAATTTAAACCCACCAATTGGAATAAATATATTAATTAGCAATTGAAAAATTAATTACAGTCATTGGGTATTTATTTATATAAAAAGTTTTGTCTGCACAAATCGGGAAATATTAACTTCGCGGAACGCCGTGATTTTCAAAAATTTTCACTAAAAACGTATATATAAATATATAAAAATTGTAACTATGGATTTTCGATATTTTTACATTATAGTGCCACAAGAAAACAAATTACGACGAACCTTGCGTCAAAGTTTTGAGTATTTTTGAGAACCTCACAACATCGTACCCGTATAAAATCATGTGAAAGATAAGAAATATATTTCAATAGTTATATACCTAATAGCTTGAAAACCGGTGAAATATTTTGAAAATCGCCGATAATATAATTAATAGCAGTGGCGTACGTAAGATTTTTCAATGATGGGAGGCTTGAAAGTTGTTATGTAATCAGTTGTTTAGTCACAAGTTTGTAAAATAAAATAGTTGTATTTTTAATTCTGACTGATAATAAACACAAAATATACAAAAAAAAAATGGAAAAAAAAACTTTTATATTTAGGCAACTATAAAAATGTAAAATACAATTTTTAAGTTTCTACTTTTTTTGTAGTAGAGTATTACAAAAGCCAGAGACCAACCAAAATTAGAATTGTATGAATTGTGGGTTGCATAACTTAACTTTTTTTTTCTTCAAACTAAAAGTCAAAAAATATTCCATCTTTTTTCTGCCAATATGAATAATTAAATCATTTTTTTAGTGTGCAAAATTATGAGATACGTTTTATACGAAAACAAGGACGAACAATTTAAGTGTAAAATATTATTACATTGACAATAAAGAGAATTAAGTGAAAACAAAATTATCTGCATAATTGTTTTTCACTAATTAAAGGTTATATTATTATTATCTAAAACATTCGTGGGCTAACTTAACGATACGTTAATTGTTGGTAACATCAGTACAGTAAGCTAAATATTATAATCATAGATATTATCTAAGGTTGCGTGGGCGTGTGGCAGCTCGCGTATGCACAATAACGCCAATCACCAAAGTTGTAATAATAACAAAACCATTGTTTGAAACCAATGAGTGTCACCTCAGCTAAACAAAAATAATAATCTTTTAAACCTAATAATATCTTATTCTGTGATAATATAGTAATGTTATTAATAGATATCGGTGGTAGATTAAATTTTTACTTACGAAAATAGTGTATTTTATGAAAAAAAAGTTCTTATTTAATAATTATTATTACAGTTGAAACTTGAAAAATATAAAAAAATATGTGTGTATAGTATATATATATCTGTGGCTTAGTGCAAGAATGTGCAATATCACATTTTGTGACTGTTGGGAAACCTTTGAAATTGTATTTCCTCATAAAGCTCTGTGTATTTTATTAAATGTTTGTGTAATTTTCAATTTCTACAAAAACTTAAATAAATTCGATTAAAAAAATAAATAATTGTACATTCTTTTTTATTTCTAACTGATTTTTTAAAAAAAAAAATGATATTAGCCCTTCTTGCACCAAGCTATATATATATATTTATGTACATAAAAACGATCAATAGGGGGGGGGGAGTTTCAGCCCCTTAGCCTCCCCCCTACGTACGCCATTGATTAACGGTATAGTTGTATGCCAAACATGACGGGTTTTAATGGTCATTGAAATTTTTAAAATCGCTTAATCCAAATGTAATAAATCTTTATTGCAAAAACTTTTTTGTATACAAATATCAATGAAACTATAATGTAAATTCAAAGTTTAATTTTATTTTCAGCATTTAAACAGTCATAATTACCTACAAAAATTTCACATTGATTAATAGATATTGATTGAAATCTAATAAATGGTAATAAATAATTAAAAATCAGTTGAAAATAATTTATTATTAATATATAATTATAAGGTCTTAAGGTTCGCTCAGAATTTAAAACGGAAACGTTGATTTCATCTCGTTTTAAAAACAATTTTATCTAAATGGTCATTCCTAATATATTTGTACACAGGTATACTTCTTATTGATTAATTAATTAATTATGCGATACGCGTAGGGCATTTAATTGAAAAAAAAAAAAAACAATTTCAATATCAAAACTTAGAAGTCAATTAACGTTGGTGGCGTCATGTACGTTGTTCGAAATGTAATTAGCGACTACCAGACGAACAATACCTTTAAACGTATATGCGTCTTAATGACGGACATAAACCGTGTTGGTTCAATAATAACAATGTTTTTATAGTTTTTAACGTATATATATATATATATTATATTATTATATATATATATTGTTACCGTCGTCAGATTTATAATAAAATAATAAAATTACTCTATAGGGTGATTTTTTACGAAGATTTTTCTGGTAAATTTGATTTTGTATTTTTCCTTCATTTAATTACATTTCATTTTCTTTTTTTTTTCTTACGAGTACTGACTTAACGATAGGTATGCATAATAACATGTAATTTCGTTCTTTGTGAACATGTAATTTTGACAATCGTTATGTGTTACTTAACAAATTACGAACCATCAAATGTAAGTAAAAACATTATATTATATACCCACAAATATATAGCGTGTATTATAATAAGAGTTTGGGACTTATTTTTATTTAAAATAACAAAAAAAAAAACACTTGAATTTTATACTTGAATTTTTTAATCTGTTTAAAAATACTCTCGTGGAATCATATTTTTCCGTGCCTGGCGACGATTCATACGGCAAGTAAATAAGATATAAGGAAATTAAAGTTAACTAATAGAATACAAAGGTGAAATTATTTTAAATCATAATTTT